TCCCCCCCCCCTTAGAACAAAATTATAACTACATCATGTTCACCCCCACACAATTAAAATTAATTGCAATTTGTCATAGCCACGACGTTGTCCTATTATATACCTCCCAAATCGCTAAGTGATCCGTGCTGGGATCAATCTTCATTTCGCTCAGGACGGAAGTTTCTTCTTCGAACACGCTGAACGGAGTATGAATCAAGTACATGTCAACATAGTCCAGTTGTAAGTCTTCAAGTGATTTTTTTAAACACTCTTCCAGGTCCTCTGGCCGATTCTTGTAAGGGGGGAGCTGCAAAAAATTTACGTTTAGGCGAGGTTTATGTATTTTATATTTTGCATGGTCTTAACACTATGGCTTTAAATGGTCAATATTGTATAAGTGTAAGTATGTCACGGTACCTTGGTGACAATAAACAATTCGTCTCTAGTCACTTTGCCGGACGTTATCCATTCGTTCAAAACTTTTCCTATGACGTGTTCGTTATGGTAAGCCGTGGCCGTGTCGATGTGCCTGTACCCACTCTTCAGTGCTTCGTTTAAGGCCGATTCCAAAACATCGTCTACGGCCTACAACGATTGAAAAAATATGCCACTATAGTGTTTTCAAATGATATAAGTATAGGCAGCTAAATCGATTTTAAGGTTATTATGTAATAAACACATAATATTCGGTGCGAATAAAAGTGAATAATAATATTTAATTTTTTTTTTTCATTTACTTTACTATCTATAATGTACATTACATTAGCTCCGTTATATTTGTATAATATTGTTATCCTAGTGTTTATCAGCAAGTATATATATTACATATTTTTGCTGCACAACAAACGTTTGTCGGTTAAACTTATAATTTATAAATGTCGAAACCAAAATGCTAATTACCATAAATAATATATACAATACCTATAATATGTATCTACTAACTATGACCTATATAGAATCTATGTGTATACTTAGTATCTACAAACATCTAATATATTATTATATTTTTATACATATTTTATTAAAACACGCAATAACCAGTGAMATATGTATAGGTATGCAGTTTTCTAAAACAAAATGTACCGATTGGTCTACTGCGTTATTGTATCTACTGTTAATTTTTTAATAAAGAAAACTAATTAGTGAAGTGATGTACATGATCCTCAAAATTATAGATACTATAGTTCATTGTTGTATGGATTTCTTTTTTTTTATTTGAAGTGTATATTATAATCTCCACGAGTTGTAGTTGGTTGTCTATAATTTGAAAAATCACCCCCCAACCCATTATCGCCATCACTTGAAACATTTCTGGATCTATTTTCCCAAYGCCTGCAGGTCGTTAACTATATACATATTAATATAATACAAGCTAGCCAAGTCGTGCAGCTCACCAAGACTTTGCAGGATGCACGACCTGGTACCTATTGACACACAATATATTTGGTACAACAATGTACGAACACGTGTGGATACTTTGTTATACGTTTTGATATATTATTGCACTTGTCATRTATATCAATATAATGGGTATGGTTCGGCCCAATACACGTTTACGGGCGCCTGTTCRTTTTAACGTACACCGTGGTCGCTGCGTGTCGGAGAATATGAAAAAAAAWAAATAAACAGTTTACATATAGGTACTACCTATAGTTGAAAATTAATGGTTTCGTAAGGGTTTTTTAACCACGCTTTGTAGCATGACATTATGACATGCACGAGTGTCGTCCCACTTGTCCGACGACGTTTGTTGGCCTGCCCATACAGGGATGGCTTAAAAAATCAATTATTCTACACCAGAAATACACACTTCACAAGAGAAATGGCAACAATTAAATGTTAAAAATTTATAAATAGAAAATTAATTGCAATATGTATATCAAAATGACAATCAAAAACGCACTAAAAATATTCAATAACGATTATTATTTATACTCTGCAACTAATCGCGATCGTTGTTTGTTTTGATTGTAYCTATTCACTCTGAGTTCTGACTATTAATTGAGACCAAATTCTTATTGTTTAAAACAGTCAAGTTCGAGACATAATAATTCTAAAAACAGTTAAACATTATGTAGTTGACATTTGAAAATCAAAGTTTTTATATTTCTAAAAAAAAAATTGGATTAAAATTATTAAAACGAGAGTTTGTTAAAAGTTTGTGAGATTATGATTATAATAAAAGCTCAAAAAAATAAAAATAAAAATAAAAAAGAATGTTATGAAATAGTTTGAACTTTTACAGCCCACTAAAATATGTTAGCTTGATTCAATGTTAAAATGATTGTATATATGTTTTCATAAACAAAACATTCAAAACCAGCGGAAAACAAATAGTTCACAGAAAATATTGGTTTATATTTTTGCTGTACCTTTTACAAGCATTTTTACAACAATTTATGCATATAACTACGACTAATATATAGGTAAAAAAGTATGATTGATGGAATTTACAATTTCTCTCTCTCTCTCTCTCTCACACACACTCTCTCTTTCTCAAAAAAAAAAAAAACTTCTCTGCCCCCACTCTCAAACTCCCAGTCCCTATAATACAAAAAATAGAAAAAAAACACTTCTGTAAAGCATTAAAGCTGCGTACACCTATACATTTCCAAGCATTTAAAATGCTGTGTACGCTTTGTTCTTCTTGGATGTGAAACAATACGTTAATAAACTATATTAGATAACAGTATATTTTTCAAAACTGTTATAATAAATAACGCGCGTAAAATAAACATTAAACAGTATGGGCAGTATAGGCACTTAAATTCAAAATGTATTATATTCGCACTTGATGAAAAACAGCTACAACTTTAAAAAATATAAACGCACTTTGTCGTATTGTAGCATAATCACTAGGATATAAAACCGTACACCTTAACCGTTTCATGACAATAGATAAAACAAAAAATCCGTACAAAGTATTTTTTTTTGCCGATTCATTGATTGTATGCTTTCCGATGAATAAAAAATATGTACTCCGGTCGTATTGTTGTACTCGCTTAAGCCTATTACGAGTTTACTACACTCCTGTGCACCGTGTGTGAGGGTTAACTCAACAATGTATAGGTAAAATATCATTATTGTCGTCATCATCATTTATATTGTGAAAAAGTGGAACGTGGTATCTTTAGATGACTTACTGAATTAATATTATGTTATTATTAATACAGAATGACCTAAAAAAATAAAAAATTTTCGCTAACAATAATCACTATTATTTCTTGAAAAAATATACCAAGGTCATGGTCAGATATATCTTATATATATATATTTTGCTTTTAATTATTTTTTGTCAAGGTTCAATATTTATTTATTTATCGTAATTCGAATTCCATCCATAATGTAATGTGTTTTGTTTTAAAAATGTTCTAATCAAATTCTTACTTTAATATTATTATAGAAATTTAGTCTGTGTTTTGTACTATTTTAAACGTGAAGTTGGTCAATACCACAAGTGAGTAAAAACACTCGAAAATCATTACAAATTTAATATATTGCTATTATTATGAATCAATTAATAATAGGTATATAAATGTGAGGTGCCTTAATCTAAATTTAAATGTCATTTAAGTGTTCAAACGAAACATTTTTATTTTGTTATATGTATTCAACATATTAAAGCAAGAATGTGGAAATATTTAATGTGATATTTAATAAAATAATCAACATAGCACACTTAAATATAATAGTATATATTATTATTTGTTATATTAATGAAAGACTTATGTCAGAGGTCGTAGCGTACCTAATTATCTCATTAAATAAAGTYATAGAATAATATTTGTGATTTCTTAGGTCCGATTGTCTCAGTCAATAACGAAATATCTGTAMATTTTACCCAGTCATTGTTAYGATTGTYTATAATAGGTACATAATATACTACATACAATTTCTAATCGTATAATAGCAAATTAAAATAATTGTTTGAATATAAAATTAAAATTATGATTATTTTTTTCTATTCGTTTTCAATAAGAATTTACATTTTTAAAATATATTTTATTACCTAGCAATAAAAATATTATTAAACAAGGTACAATTTATTTACATTTATGTGTATTATTATTTATATCGATAGGCTATAATTTAGTCGAAAATACTAATAAATTATGAAATCTAACGGCTATAGCAAATAAAACGTAATATGAATAAATGGTTTTGAAAGAAGTCCTCCATTTGGATTTGATGATTTTTTTCKCGTGGACTGGACTGAGTTCTCACGATCGTTTTCTCAATCATGTTATATTATGAATTACATTCCAAAAAATATATAGTCTCAAATCACCATGCCCAATGTTAGTAAGATAAATGTGTGTAAAATGTCAATCAACTCGTTGATTGACTGACAATTTAATAAGTAGCTTTTTACCAAATATCGTACTTACGTACGGTTCGATAAAATTTGAMGTGTGTATAATCAACTGTTTGAAAACAATTTTTGAATTTTTACTCTTCTTGACTTATAGGAATCATCTCTTGTCATTCGCACTTATCACAGAAATCATTATTGATATCTAGTCACGTTTCATTTAAATTCATTATTATTATTATTWTATTTTTTTACTTCCATTACTTAGACGTCACAATAGTCAATTCCTWTAAAATTTGAACTTTTKCACGACTATCTATACGAATGATCGGCATTACGATATACCTAGTTTGAATTGGGACGACACTTAATAACATTTGGTCAAAAATATTCTACCAATATKTAATATAATTTAATAACCTCTWAATCTGTAAAAAAATTAATTAATTCACAGTCGCTGGCAAACGAAGTCAATCCAAACGTTAATAGCCAACTTTATATGAACCGTTACATCATAAGTACAGAAGATAAAATATTATTTTTGATTATGGCRACGTGCTTAGCGWTCATATTGGCTATCATAGCTTAACTTTAGTTGTACATTATTAGGAAATACTCATATGACAGTAAATTATGTACAGCTGTCAATAATATTAATATTAAAAGATGTAATTTATTATGAATATTATCATTATTCATTATATTTTTCTAACATGTCCTGTCCGTAGATTTTTGACAATATCTAAATTTAAATTATGCCGCTAATACGTATATAATATACTATGCTACTCCATTTTGTACCTACATGTATTTTARATGTCCGGAATTAATTTAAATAAAATGATAGTATAGTTATCTAATATGTTTATTTTATACAATATTGATTCACCAAACACACTTCAAACAGGGACCACCGCTTTTTAATTATTGTTATCASTAAAATAATCATTAATTACTTTTAAATGTTAGCAATCGAAAATTGAACAAGCAATTTCTGAAATGTTAATGTTTGTGTACTTATTAGTAATAGGTTTGAAGATAATATTTTAAAGTGAGGTTTGAAAATTTTAATAATAATATTAATACTTTTATTAATAATTACTAGATATAATTTTTTGAACATTGTCCGAGTATAATAAGTTTAATTTATGACATGATGTAACTATTTACATTCATGCCTATATATGTTTTGAAATGTTTTATAATATACAAGATATATATATATAATATTTAATACCTAAACGTTTTTACAAGGTATACCTAGGTTCACGTCACACATTAGACCAGTGTGGCGATGTCAATATGTCCAGACTGAATGATGTATTTAATTTTATTCATTATCWACGTATATATTTTTATGTTAAACCATTATCAAAGGTTATCCTTACCATTCTAAATGAATATGAAATTTAATGACCCGAAAACTGTTGGTTCAAAATATTGATTTAAATGCATTAAAATTTCTAAAAAAATCAACCAATTCGCAGTTTACTGCAGAAAAAAAAGATTTGCCGTTTTCATTGAAAAATTAAGTTTTTGACGTTACAGGACACTTTATAAATGGTATGAAAGACTACGTGTTTGAAAATATAGTCTATAAATATACCCGAAAATTCCTTTAACCAGAATTTGAATAAATGCTTCATTGAATGGTAGGTAAAATTCCAGAGTGAGCATGCACGGCAAATCGCCTTGTATATTATAATATWATATTACATAATACAGTACAGTGGTTTCATTAATTCTAGTTAAACTACGAGAATGATTGTACAACGTGTGTTTTTTTTTTTATACCGGTTTTTGTGTTATACCCACATCTTCGTCGTCATTGCGATCCATCTGAGTTTGTTATGATAATAATAATATATTATTGTTGTTGTTGAGTCGGGGCGTTACCACACACCGGACGAAACGCATTGAAACAATACAAATATTATATTATATTATCGAATATTGCATAACATTATCAATTTTCATAGATAAATCGAATATAATATGTATATCTAGGTGTTTTATATTTTTAACCGGTTATCATCATAACTAGCAAATCTGGGCTACAAYAAGTTAACACAAGTTCGAGTTGAGGTGATAATTATTATGACTTGATGCGAATTGAACCGAATTTCGAATCGTACGCCAATAGTGTTATAAAATCGCTCATTAAATTTTACTGTAACTTTAGTATTTGAAGCATCCATCAAGTATACAAAAGTCGTAACTGCACAGTGCAAAGTCCACCGCTATATTATTATGAGCAAAATAACTTGAAAACAAATCTATGTAAATAAAAAGTCGTTTTAATTTAATAATAATTCAATGCAGTTGTTAAAAGATGCAACGGACTGCAGCATTAGATCTATCATCTATACGCGTTTGCCAACCTCCTTAGTCTTTAACTCTCCCGGCCTTGTGTGTGAGCTTACATAACAATATGACGTTAGGTATGATAATATTATTATAATAATATTTTATAGTTTTATTATTCCGATCGTCGGACTCACCTGCCACGTGCCATAGCCGACCATCGGCATGTTGCCGCCAGAACTCAACTTCAGGTATTTCATAGTGCGGTAGTCGTGTGTCTTTATACAAAAAATATGAAATAATTATTAGAATAAATATAAGTGTGTGTGTGCGTGTGTGTGTGTGTGTTGTGCGCGAGCTGACGGACCGGCGACGACTGCGGCGATGTGCGTGTGCCTGCCGATTACCTACCACGGCAGAGGTCCACGCGACGTCGTTTTTAATAATAACCAAGGTTATGGTCTTCTGGTATCGTAATGTAATAGTGGTAGGAGGAGATATTATTAAATCACGTATACGTATTATAATAAAAAATAACGATATCGGCAGGTACGGTCCGTCATTATTATTTATTATACGGTTCGAAGAATGCGATGTGTGACGCGTTAGACGTTTTGTCGACTACACAGCTACACCCGCAGCTACAGCATCCTYACAAAACACGTCATGCTATTATAAAAATAATTAACATTGTATTTATTTCATTATTGAAAACGCCCGATTAAACCCGTGTGGATTTTGTACACCTTCGATAATACTTAGGTACCTATATTTAAGCACAATAATAATAATGATAGGTAAATAATATAAATATATTTATTTTAAATCATATTTATTTTTAATTATATCGTTTTATGCGAACTAGAATCGAATGAAAATGAACAGGTATTAATTGTAACACTGAAACCGACAACAAATCTGATAAAATAGAATATTGCAATAAATTGATTTTGTTCAATCCTTGCAGATATTAAATTATATTTCATCGATTTTATACCATTGTTAAAACACTCGATTGATTTCCGTTAGCAAATCTAACGTTAAATGATAATTTATTATGAAATATGATTTCTATCTAAAATAACTGATATCAATATATGTTATGTCTATTGTCTATACCTTATATATTATATTTCACATGAATTATTAGACGTTAAAGCAAAATTATTTATAATATATTTATATATGTATACAGTGAAATAGCCCTTAACAGACACCTCCAAACAGCGGAAATTCTTCACTACCTCTGTATAGGACACTCTAAATAACGGACACTTTTATGACAATTTCATTCACACAGAATAATCGTKGGATGCCTTAAGTAAGTATCTATCTATCTATATTATAGTTTTAAATTTATCTTATCTGTCCTTTATCGCGTCAATGAAAACATTTTCCCAATTTATGTTCTGTGAAGTATACCTACTAGGTACTCGTATTTAGTTTTGTTTGTGATTCCATTACATACGAACGTATTCGTAAACCTATTGTCTCAAACGCAGTTGAATTAGAAAATGCATTGATACACGAAATTACTATTTACTGTGAATCAAGGTCTAAACAAGCTAAAGTAACCGATTATTCATATAATTTTAAACAATAATATGTCCAAATAATATTTTCATTAAAATAATAGAAATATCATTAATTATTAATATTTCTCGGTCGCCGTAATATTGTCCGTTATTTAGAGGTTACATTGTATATATATTTAAAAAAAAAATTATTATAATGATTTAAAGGTAYAGGTATAGATCCTAAGTAATATAAATTGATAATACCTGTAAAAAGTTTTTAAAAAATAACAATAATAATAAAAGCACTACCTACCTAGTTGTTTAAGTTTTGTTTTGTAAGATACATATGAATTTTCTTAAACAATTTTCATCTGAAACTAAATAAGMTAATTTTTTCTCCTTAATGGTGGATTTTATCAATAATATTAAATAATATTGATTTTGACAACTTTTATTTTAAAAAACATTTTAAAACAACGATATTGTGGGTCGATTGGGTTTTATGATGGGCTAATAACATGATGTCGTATAAATATTTTAACGAGGAGAAATTAAAAAAAAAAATAAAACCTTAATTTTAGGAAATAATAACTGGGTAACAATAATTGAAAAACCARCTAGGGTTTTAATAAATRATTTAACAACTAATCGTCCCACAAAGGTTCAAACAAATGCTGACATATTTTTMAAAGTAACTAATTTGTCAAATTTAAATGCAAATAACTAATTATTATAAAGATTTCCACCTACATGATAATAACACTATATTGATGCAAGTTAACCGTATCTGGATATTTTATGATGGGACTTCAGTCTCTACATATGCATATTGTGATATATATATTGTGATGATTTTATTATGATTTATGTTGTTTCAGTGAACTTCAGAAATTTAATAATTAATATAATATAGGTATTGGTATATAAGTTATGATTGCTAAGATATAAATTGGTTATATTAAGTATGTTAAGAAAGTTATAATTGATGTATTGACAGAACAAAAATTAAAAATATTTACACTGATGAAATATTATACAATATAATTTAATTTGCATCATTTTTAAACTTCATTGTATACATTCCTTATGTACATAACTATTTAATCTAATTGTAAGCTAATAACTATGATGTTGATGCTGTAACAATAAATATATATATATATATATATATACAGAGTGATTCTTTTAAGTGGGTACACTAATTATCTCGAAAAGTATTTACTTTTTTCAAAATATGTTTTTACATGGTTTCAAGTTGTTAAAAAACCATGTAAAAAAATATTTTGAAAAAAGTAAATACTTTTCGAGATAATTAGTGTACTCACTTAAAAGAATCACCCTGTATATATACAATACCTATATTGTAATACCTTGATGCCTTGATAAATATCAGTAAAAAAAAAATATAATATATAGGTAGGTATATATAATAAGACGGCGTGACTGGCTTATAAACGTACAGCCAAAACTATGTGATAGTTATATAGGTACGTATACTCTGTCCATTGAGATAATGCACCGATTTATATATTATAATTCCTACGTCWCTCATCTGATATCGAAACTGGTCACTCTGAGGCAGGACGTCACGTGGGGATATGCAGAAGATTTGATTTTGATCGGTTTTTCATCTCTCGATGAACAAAGTATAGAGACTAGAAATGTACATGGTACTTCCGTACCACCATCATCGTGGGGTGTCCTGAGAAATGATTTTCCAAAATTCGTATTTTGAATTATAAGGATTCGTGTTGGGCTCACGTAAAACGAATATTCTGTTTGTACAGGCACTAYAGGGTTGCCATTGGTTACACGGTATAATCTAAGGTTATATKTTTTGTATTTGGTCAAAACCATCCAAATGACCGGGTTAAAAATATGTGTAGCTTATAATAAACYTTGAGACAGTGGAAAACCACTGGTTTTATTTAATTCACCAGTCGTCACGGACAACGCTTTGATTAACCCCAAATAGTATTATAATATATTTAATATAGCCTATAGAGTGTGGGTGTAATAATTTATAAATATATTTTGTCATTTTATGTTCAATGACTTCTAATTTTAAATGATTAATAATCAATAAATATTTTTTTGATTTCACATGGACGTGAGTCGTTATCGGAAAACAAATTCAAGAAAGCACTTATTACATTTTTYTTAAATTATAAAATATATTTAAAAACTATTTATTTTGAAAAACCCAGATAAGTCGCTCCGATAGATAATATATCTAGGTATAGGACTCCAATAGAGTTATTTTTATAAAGAATTATGATTAATTTTTTTTTTACACCTGTATTATTTAAACTCTATTTTTAKAGGTTTTAAAATKATTGATTCATTGGATCACGGCCTTTAATCGAATGGATGCCGTTTCGCTAAAAATTGTTGATAAAAATGTACAGCCCGTGGCGGTAATTAATAACTATGAATGAATCTATAAATGGTAATATGGTAATATTATTTCGCCATGTGGTATAATATGTGATTAGTGTCTAAAAAATTTTAAGACAATTTATCGGTCGAATTCATGTGMATAATATACATTGTACCGTTTGTTTGTTTGTTGTTGTGAACGTTTCGTGAGTGGATTTAGTCGGATGTTGTGAGATTTCAATTAATACTCGTTTTATTTTTGTTATCTACCTTATCCAAATAAATTAAAAAACAAATAAATTCCATTTCCCTCAATACCATGGTCTGTACAAAGATTCATTGTTTTAAAGTGTCATGTCGGTGGTATAGCAATATTCCACCTCRCCCATATCTGTAAATCATTGCTAAAACCCTGTATAATAATATCTACCTATCTGATATAAATAATATAAGCAATTTAAGTCGACTTTTCTGTCGGATTCGACAACGGCTTCTTATTTATATACCACAGGACTTGCATATAGTGCAGGTAAATATATTTTAAATGATTATAAGCGTATTATTCAAAAGTAATTAATATTTGTGTGTACTCAAGTGGCAAGAGGATCTACAACGCGATATTACGGACTGCATCCACTTAATGAGTGTAATTCTTTGTTAACTCATCTGGGGATCCTTTACATAATGTTTTTATGTGTTTGAACGCATTTAAGTTTTAAACGTATTAACTTCATTAAATAATCGGATCAGAAATCGATGTTTGGAAAGATAATCCCACTTGGACCAAGGTGTCTCTAATAAAGCGAACTTGTTACCATGTAATAAACGGTTTCTGGTTAGTATAGCTAACAATATAGAACCTAACTTATATATATATATATATATATTTAACTATATATAATTACCTAACTTTTATACATTGATTTAAGATTACAATATTATTTTGAATATAAACCATTCATTTTTTATATACGTTGGCAGGTCAAATATACATTTTAAATGCAATTTGAAACGTTTAATTTATTGACGTTCCATTTGTGGAAAATAAACAGTGAAACCATCAATAAATAATAATTATCCAAATTAAATATTATTAGTATTTCATGATATTAAGTATACAATTAAATTAAATTGCCCATATTATATTAATCATTTGTATTAACAGATGCAAAATTAATACTTATTAAAATAAACTCATCGTATTTTAACGAAAAGGTAAATAATTTATTGTTTCTTATTCTAAATTTTAACTTAAAACTAGTTTAAACGATATCGACATAATATACCTATAATTTAATGTCAGTATATAGTTGAAAGCTGTAAATTGTAAAAGCAATTGATCGTATTTTGATGATTATATGTATTTAATTATATTTCACCATTATGATTCATAACAATTAATAATTCATAATAGTTTTAAACGTTTTTATTGTAGGTACAGAAAAAAGTTATTGGTAACAGAAATATAATAGGTATCTGCATCATCGATGACGATTGACGACTATGATCGACCATTTATCGATTTCATTTTAATTAATGGCTATAAACAAAATGTATACATGAAAATATACGAGTAGAACATTAAATTATATTTGAAAATTGTTAAATTATTTTAAAATAATATGTTTTAAAATTGAATAATCATATACGAAAAAACAAATATTGTCGGAGCTAGACACACTCAGAAACTATAAATTTATAAAGATGTTTTGTTTAAGATTTTCTTTACTGGTTCAAAATGGATATTCTGGGTGATCTTCAATACTGAGAAAAAAAAATTAAATATTTAAACGTTTAATAATGTAAATGTAACTTATTTATAAATGAATGATAATATTATATTATTTAATTGACAGTTTTGCATAGTTATGTTAAAACCAAAGATCAGACATCAGCACCAGTAAAAACTGAAAAATTTATTTTCACAATGTTGGTTCGTATTTCGATTTTTGTGTTGAAAAGTTAAATGTAGGTTTGTAGATATGGTCAGTTCCTGTTGTATTTCTAATTTTTTTTTCAGATTTGACCCAATGTCTGGTTTGTACTATATGATTTTTATGCAAAAATTGTAATAACATATGATTAAAAAAGTAAAAAAATATTAATTTTAAAAACTCGTAATTTGTAGGTTTGGAATAAATCTGACTATATACTTTTCTACTTTAAACTTCAAGTTAATTAATGATAATAAAAAAATGTGGTGTTTGTCAGTTTTTGCATCTGGCGCTCAATGTTGATGTGTTTGCATTAGTCCGACGACTTAAGCACGTTCATAAAATGTAGGTTGACTTATGGGTGAAGTACCTAAATAACAAGTATTATAATTTATGAAATGTACATAATAATAATATTCAAGTGTTTTACGATGAATAACAATGATTTATAATAATGAGAAAACATCATGTGATATTTAAATTACACACACCATGTCACCATCGCTACGTATACTTGGGCTACTGATTTGAACGATTGAGCGTCGTGCAATTTTTGTAACATTATTTTGAGACATCGAATTTAACAAATCACTATCTAGACCCATTTTTTTACACACACATTTTTTTTTTTTTTTTTTTTTTTTTTTTTGAGGGGAGGGGTGCTTGTATATATGTTAACACATCAAAAATGTAACTTACTTTTTAATCATTGTAAATCGTACGATGCGCCCTCCTTCTCCGTCGTCCAGATTTCGTAGAGCGTCCATATCCTTGGTATCCAATTTAAAATCGAAAATCTTTCGGATAAAACGCGAAAACCGTTAATGTAATGATACGTTATATAATTCCAATATAGTATTATAATATCATCGACTACAGTAAATACTGACAATAGAAAACAAAAATATAAATACTTGAAAGTTTTCCACTATTCGTTTTGGGGTCGTGCTCTTGGGTATGACGGACACTCCGTTCTGATTGATGAACCTCAACAACGCCTGGGCTGGAGTCTTACCGTGTTTTTTTGCAACCTTGACCAACACGTCGTTCTCTAACATTTCTGGTAACTGTTTATTGCTATTTAAAAATACACACACACACACAAACACATAATTAGCTATTAAACATATCGTATTCAAAGTTTAGTTTTCACGGCAAAGTGCGTGTTTATCTCATTACTTCCAAGATATTCCTACTAATTCTCTAAATGATTTCATGCCCAGACTCGAGTACGAGATCAAGACGATATTGTTAATTTTGCAAAATCGCACGACTTCGGGGGATTGAAAGTACAAATGGTTTTCGTTCTGGAGACTATCGGGTCTAATTTTGCAATTGTCTAATATCCTTTGCGTTTGCTTCATGTTGAAGTTAGACAAACCGATCGATTTTGTCCGGCCATTGATCACTTGTTCCTCCATTTTCTAAAATAATTTATGTATTTTATTAATTCTAGAAAATAATTGTTCGGCTAATATTCACATTATTGTTGTTAACATAGAAACATTAATAAGTAATAACATCTTGAGTTGGTTATGGTTATCGATTGCCAAATTCATAATGGTTTAGATAAAAACGTTATAGGAACATACTTTCCAAACTTTTAGGTGATCCGTACTTTTATCTAATTCCATATCACTGTACTCAGATTTTCCATTTTTGAATAGACCAATTGGAAGATGTATCAGATACATATCAATATAATCTAGCTGTAAATCTTGTAGTGATTGCTTAATATATTTATCTACATCTTCAGGACGATTTCCAAAGCACGGGAGCTATGTAAACAATAATACACTTAAATTGTAATTTTTTAATCTCTGTGTTTGGCATAATTTTAAAATACTTTAGTTAGGACGAACAATTCTTCTCTAGTCACTTTGCCAGCTGATATCCATTCATTCAAAACCTTTCCGATGACTGATTCATTGTTGTAACCAATGGCTGTGTCGAAGAACCGATAGCCAGTTTCAAGTGCTACATTTAAAGACTTTTCTAGTTCAAGACCTGTAGCCTTAAACGATATTAAAAGTTATGATTTAATGAAGTAAATAAGTTTTTTATAAACATTTTTAATATAATTATAAATTGTATCATAATCGTTCATATTTTTGAGTTTTAAACAATTCAATAGATAATGAAGCTAATCTAGTAAAAAATTATAATATACGTATACTATGCACTTGATCACAATGAGGAAATATTTAATAACAATAAGTCATTTCTATTAAACTAATCATACTTTTTATATTTTATAATTTTTTAAAATTTATAATTTAATTTGTATGAAATTCTCGGGTTTAAATTTCATAATGTTATAAAAAACCCAGTTCTGATATTTATATATATATATATATATATAAGTATAGGACTCCAATAAAGTTATTTTATTTTTATAAACAAACATTTTTTTATTTTATTTATTTATCCGTATTATCTATATATATTATTTTTATTTCAATAAAACTTATAACAGGTATACAATTATTGATTTATTGGATCACGGCTTTTAATCGAATGGATGCCGTAAAAATGTTCAGCCCGTGGCRRTAATTAGTAACTATTAATAAATCAATAAGTAATATTATTGCACCATATATTATAATTTATAATATATTACATTCATTTKTGTAGTAATATAGTATAATTTAGTAATGACGGTCGACGGATATTAATAATATAATGTATAATATATAGCTATAGATAYACATTTAGAAGGATGGCCTTGTGTAATGTTATGAAACTTTGATGACAGTTTTTTTCCTTTGAACATTTCAAAAAGTTTCTTAGCCAATTTCAACTTAATTTCTTTGTTTGATTGTTTTGGTGGGATAGCGTGGGTTAATAATATTAAGCTATCTGAAGATTTAAATTAAATAATAGTTTTTAATAGACTTTAAAACAAAAATCAAACTATAAAAAGATACATAAAAATTACAAGTTAGAACGATAACATTTTGAATAACATATAAATGTACAACGAAGGGCACGATTCTAGTGGATACGAAAATCACTGAGAAAAATAGAAAAAGATTTCTTAAATAATACTCGCATATTAATTTATCATATATTACGAGTATTAGGTATTTGATTGATATTAKTTTCAGTGAACTTACCATAAATGTTCCATAACCCAAAGCCGGCATTCTACCGCCCGATTGTAATTTAAAAAATTCCATTATTAGAAAATTAAAAGTAATGCACAATTGAAAACGATATTAACACTGACATGCACAAACGTTGAATGCTTTTATATATAATGAACTGTTCGATATTGTTTAACGTGGAAGGCCGTGTAACTTCTTCACATGGTTGCAAAATCGAGTTAATTGTATAGAAAACTTTTAATAAATAAGTCGGTGTGATAATTTTATCGAAATCATTGAAAAATTTACTAATTATACGAGTATGTGAACGAATCGGTACTATACAATACTAAACGGTCATTCTACACTAATGGTTATTGAAAACGGTCTGTCATATATTGGATGAAGTATGTATACATATACTATTGTTCATAAACAATGTTTAATTTCCTCTATAATGTTTTTGGAATAATTCTAAGAAATTCTCACACGTAGTACATATTGTTGTAAGTGGATGATAATTTATGTTTTTATTTAATGTATTTGTGTTAGTTTGAGCGACACCATAATTTATTTTCCCCAATAATAAAAAGATAGGTTTAAAAAATTTCTAGGATTGACTTTGTTTTGTTTAATTCCAGTAATAACAAATTTTAATAAGACTTTGTATTAAATTTTTAAATTTTATGTATAAATATTAAAATTAATTTTTAATTGATAAACTGGAAATTTTGAAAAGTKCTGGGCGTATCTCTAGTGCATGACCAGTTGTCAGCCACTGAAATCTATACCACGGTCCATACAAATCATAAACATTGGTTACATCTTATATATTCATATTATAACCTACTTGCATGATGCGTACAAATTTTTCTTTCATGAAATCGTATACGCAGTGTGGTCTGGTTGTCGCACAAATCCCTACATCACCTTTGGCAGCATGATGGACRAGAGGCGTTACAAAAAATAGTATGACGTGTGTCTCGTGTGAGAAACTGAGAAGGCGGTTCCAGTCGAAGCGGCTCTAGCCTCACATGTCACCCGCGACTGAAATAGCTCACTTTCCGCCCTTGTCACACAATATTATGCTGTTATGTACAAATTTTCCTTTTCATTAGTATTTATTTATTTTTTATTGTAAAAACAGGAAATTTTACTTTCGAGCTCCCTAAATACCAACTATATCAAACTACACGAAAAAAAAAAACACAAACCATTGTAAAGTCAATATATTTAATGCTCTGCTTATTATATAAAATATTACTTAAATGAATTTTAAAAGAAATAATATTAATAATGGCTCATAGTAAATGTGCATTGTTATAATACCAATACATATTATTATATTCGGTACTTAATATATAGGTTAATATAATTTAAGGTGATGTGCTGATACACTATAAAATATATTATATCATTATCCGCACTTATATAATTATATATAAAAAAAGTAAATATATGATCTACAGATTTTTATATCAAAATAATATTACTATATAGTAAATGATTAAATAGGATAATTATTGACACGGATATTATATCATACGTTTATTATACATACATTTTTAACTATTTTAATACTAAAATCTCAACTCTAAACTATGAGTATAGATAATTTCGTATTACGTAACTTAAAATAAGTACTATAAAATATCAACATATACATATAAGTATGTTTTTTTTGTTGATATTTATACGTTTTAATTTTAATTTTGCAATAAAATTGATTTAAAAACACTATAGACTTGATAGGTCTAAAAGCGAATATTAGTAACTTTTGGTTTGTTAAGTGTGTCAATAAATCAATGAAATATACCAGACAAAAATTGTTCGAGATGAAAAATAAAAAATTTAGATAAACATTTTATCATTAAAGTTCTTTTTAGCATATTATTTTATACGATTTTTTGTCGTAATGAGAAAATATTTCTAAAACATAGTTGTGAAATGTACACGAATACCGGTTATGATTTTACACAGATCGAATTAATTCTATTACTTCGATTTAATTTTGCCTGACATTATATATTACCATTTTTGTTACGTGAACAATAAAATACTATTTTATTTATGTGCAAACGTGACACAATAATATTATGCTGTTGTAAGTATATGTTGTGTTGCACGTTTACCGACGTATTATCATCTATTCTGTCCGGTGTCGTTTTCATACCGGAATAACATTATCTGAAACAAAATTATTCAAAACCGTTTACATCGCATATACATTATTGTTATTATCGTTGTCATGATATCTTGTGGAAACACATGACTCGGACGCGCGCACTCGTCAGCAATCGGTCGTATTCGTTGTCAACAGTACCGGCCACGTCATAACGGCTCTCGAGCAACCATGAAGTTTTCGAAAATCGTACGCTACACCAAAGTATATTCTAATTTTATTTTATTATT